CTCCCTCGTGTGCAGACAGGAGAACTGACAAACATGCAATTACTCTGCCCCGCCCGCCACCCCCGCTCCCCTCCCCTTCCTTCCCCTCGCGTACCCCACCGCCACCAAGGCCACCTCGAAACCGCCGTCGGCTGTCGTCTGGAGGGAGCCGGGGCCTCCCCCTCCAAGCACACCCTTTGGGGAGGGCGGGGAGTGGGAAGGGGCAACCAGGTTCGTAGCACAGGCCCTGGGGAAGCCACCTGCCCTCCTCCAAGCCCACACCCCTCCCTACAATGACATCCGCCTTGGAACCCCGACACTCGCCACAGTCTGGCGGGGTGGGCTAGGCGCCCTTGAGTGTTCTCTTTGACATGCGTGTATACCATTGGCTACCTCAAGGAGGCGCTGCGAGCCCTCGGTCTCTAGCTGTCAGCTCCGGTCCGGTGTACCTCCCCTGCCCGCTTCCCAGTACCTTGCCCTCAGCAATACACCCCTCCGCTGGGCTCTGCTGCCCCTGCCATGCACAGGGCATGGGGTCTCAGTCAATGGCAGAAAAGCCACACACACGCACCCTGCAGTTGGGCCTCCCCAAAATAGATGATCAGGAATCCCTTCTTTCCTCTCTCTTTCCAGTCAATGGGCACCTCTTGGCCCGTGATTCCATCCTGTCCCCTTCACAGCCCTCATTTTCCTCACTCATCTCCTTGGCCCTGGTGTCTTGCCCTCAGCTCTTTCCTCCCTGTCCCCCAACCCTGTGTCCCACTCTGCGTTGTCCGCCCTGCCCCTCGGAGCTTTAATCCCTCCGCCGCTATGCCGCCTTATCTGCTCCCAGCAGCTTTAGATGCTGCAAAGCCCTCTCCCCCTCCTTCCCGGGATTTTCTCCCCATCCTTTACCAGGCTCTCTGTGCTCCCTGACCACCCCCCACACACACACACATCCTGCCACTCAGGACCTATCCTGGCTTCTGGCTACCACCAGATCTGCACCTCAGTGCCCTTTGCCCTCCCTTCAGCCGCAGCTCCGAAGGCCCACCAGGCCTCCTCCCACTCGCTCCACCCCTAGGCCTCTCCAGGCCCGACAGACGTCGTCGTTCTGTCCAGCCAGGATTTTTCTTCTTTCCCTTCCCTGCTTTTCTGGTCCCCTCCCCAGTTCTTCTGGATGTCTTCCATCTTGGGCTTGGTCCCGTCCTTTCAGTGCCAGTGACCCCCAGCCTTCGCTTGGGAGTATACCTGAATGCGGGGGGGGGGGGGGGGTACGAGCCCCACACAGGGGAAGGTGCAGGGCTGGACTTGCCCTAGGGAGACGGGGAGGGGGGTGTGTAGAGTGCTGGCGGGTAGTGGGGGCAGGGCCTGGCGCGGGACGCTAACCCTCTTCAGTCGCCTCAGATCACGTCCGGGCCTCCCCACCCCCCCTTGCTGGGACTCTCATTAACAGCTTCTCCTGCCTCGTCCGCGGCATAAATAACCCAGATAAATCAGCCGCCCTCCGCCCCCCGCCCCTCGGCCCCCGCACAGCCCGTTTGTCACCGCTGCTGGCTCACCAGCCAGGTCTGGCCCAGCCCTGGCCCCCCCCATCCATGTCCCTTCCCGCCCACGTCTGTCCCACACTGGCTTATCCCCATTTCTGCACCAGAGCCAAGCCTGGGACAGGTGTCTGGGCTAGGGAGGGTGACAAGTGGGTGTCCCCTGGGAGCAGGGGAAGGCTGGAGACTTTCTAGGGGAATGCTGCCTAGGTGTTTGGGGGTCAGGTCGATTATGAGTCTGGGGCTCACAAATGGCGGGAAAGAGCAGGCGCACTCAGCTTCCGGGCCGCGTCTCCATTCTGGGAGAAGAGGCACAGACCCAGAGAGCCAGGGTGCGGGAAAGGTTTCTGAGGCTCCCTTGGAACCCCAAGCTGAGTCTTGGGAGGTCTGTGGTCTCCCTTTGGGACATTTTGCCCAAATAAAACCTCTAGACCTCTTCCCAGGTACCCTGAGCCAGAGCCATCTTGCCGTCCTGGTCTCCCCTTACCCTCAGTCCCCCATTCCCATTCCCATGTATTGTCTTGTCAGGCTGTGCCGATGTCACTCTAAGCTCTGCTTCTAGTTCCTCCACGCTTCTCTGTCAGGAAGCCTAGTGCAACCCTGGGGCAGGAAGGGTGGAGAACTGGACTGTGAGCAAATCTGGGGAATGGGGACAACTGGAGGGCAAAGGAACCCTGGCTGAGGCTTCACGGACTGACCCTGCAGGCTGCGAAGACCTGCGCGCCCCCACTCCCAGCCCCAGGGTCCCTAACCGCCCCTGCCCCCCACCCCTTGCTCATACCCGGTTCAGGTTGAGGCCAGCTACACTTGGCCCAGAAGCTTCACTGCAAGGGGCAACTGGTCCCCTGGGAGTGAGGAGGGGGAAGCAGGGAGAGGATGGGGGAGCCTGGGTGCAGGGCTGGGGCTGGGAGTGGGGAAGAAGCTGGGCCAGGCCCCAGGGACCAGCTGGGCAATGAGCCGGGGAAGCAGCCGGGAGGCTAAATGAGGGAGATTATCACCCAACTGCAGCCGGGCAGAGAGGGAGGCAGGCAGGGAAGCCGGGAGAGGGAGGGGAGTGGGGACGGAGGCTAGAGAAGAAGGGGGTGTTGAGGGACAGGGAGGCAGCCAGAAGAGACTGCGAAGGAGTGGGGCGGGGTGGGGGGGAAGGCCAAGAGATGGGCTAGAAGGGTAAGGGGGACTCCCACTGAGTATAACCAGATTCCCAGGGGCCTGGGAGACTGGGTGATGGGGACTTGGGGACAATTGGAGACAGCTGGCTGTGGGGCAGTTGGGGGGGCGGGTGCACGCAGCTAATTGCTGCTCCATTTCCTAGTGACTGGAGATCCCCCCCTCCCCCATGCTCCCCCCACCCCGTACCTGGTTACTACCCAACTTTATTCCTTGTAGAGGTTGAAGGCTCTCTGCCATTCCCTCAGGAGGAAAGAACACGTAATTTGGGCTCATGATAGATGCTAGTATGCGGGGTGCGGGGTGTGACCCTGAGATCTCCATGGGTGGCAGGGAACTTCAGGGGCATGTGCAGACTCCAGGGCAGCAAGGAGTGCTGGGGAGAGCTTGGGGGACAGCTCCCCGTTTTCTTGGCAGAGCCCCAGACTGAAGTAACCTTAAAAAAGCAATTAAATCACCTTTTCAAAAAAACCCAGTAAAGAAAAATTGATACTGGGAGAAAGGGGAAGCGAAAGGATAGGGAGGAGGCGGAAGCACTGGGATGGCTGGAGAGTCTACCAGAGAGGGGGGAGCTTAAGAGGGAGCTGTCTGGGCCGCGGGCAGATAAGGGGGGTTGTCTATGCCACTTGTACACTCAATGCTAACTCAGCAGCTGCTTCCCGTGCCAACCCCACCTTCCTCTGGGCGAGGCTGAGCCCCAGCTGGATACTGCCACTGACCCCCAGGGGGTCTCATCCCAGCTGGGGGAGCCGCTGACCAAGGCTCATCCAGAGGCTTGTGAGGAGCCCAGCTGTGGGACCCCTGGGGGAGAGCCACTTTGCTGAGCACTTGGGACAACCCAGGCAGGGAGCCAAGTGTGGCTAGGGCTGGGTGTGTGGGTGGGCTGCATGCTGACTGCCCCATGACAGGCACCTGACCTGGCCTTGAAGCCAGGGTAGGCAGATTGGCTCCCTGCACTCTCAGAAGTCACCCCTGGGCCCCTTCCCCAGGGCCAGGCCAGGGCTGTGGTCTGTGGGCCCGGCCTGAAGCAGGGGAGGGGTGGCCGTTTGGCAGCGGCGGGTGGACCTCGGGCTCTAATCCCCAGCAGCTGCCGTTTCCCTCAGATCGATTCCCTTCTCACTTTTTTTTCAGCTGCTGGTTCCTCGGCTCGGATCGATAGAGCCACCTCCCCCGCCCCTCCGAGCTTCCTCTCCCTGCTGCTCATTAGCGCCCCGATTAATCAGCTCCCCCTTTCTTCCAAGGGACAACTGCTTCCTTCCCCTGGAGGGCTTGTGCTCTCACGCAAGTCCCCCAGAGCACAGCTGTTCACTCCTTCTGCCCTCCACCCTGGGGGCACCAATGCAGCCACTCCTGGCCAGCCAAGAGGGCCCTCACCCTTGCCTGGGGTGACAGTCCACGGGCCTTCTTCCCCTTCCCCAGGAAGATGCAGCCCCCGAGATCTCCCCTGCCCCACTCTGCTGGGCACCCCTACATCTGGTTCCTTAGGATAGCGTCTCCTCCTGGGAAAGCCCAGCACCTCTCTCCACTCTCCCCAGTGCCCCCACTTGAGCTATTCCTCTCCCTCTGTTCCACACCTTCTCCCCCTCCTTGTGTGAGGGCTCCCCTACATCCTTCCTGCTCCCTGGCCTGTTTCTCTGACACCCTCTCCAGCCTGGCTATGACAAGGAATTTGGGGACTTTTGGGGAAGGAAAGCAGCCACAGATGTGTAGGTCAGCCAGGAGGGTGCCCTCTGTCTCTGATGCATGAGTAACTGAGATCCCGGTTGGGGGCCAAGCTGGGGAGCAGGAGGCCAGCCTCCCCGAGGGGGCAGGGGTATGGTGGGTGTTGAAGTTGGCAGTCAAGCTCTAGGGCAGCTGAGAATCTTGGTGGAGTCAGAGTTGTCCCCTTGTCTGCCTTGCCTGCTGTCTTCCCTTCCCCAGCCTCATTCAAACAAGTGGCTCTCCCAAGGAGTTTCTGAAAGCTGCTGTGAGTGGGCTAGCGGGGTGAGGTGGTGGCGGGGTGCTAGAGTCAGGAGTCAGGAAGGCCAGGAGGTGGGCGGGGGGTGGAGTTGGCTGGCCCTCATAGGGTGTGGTCCAGAAAAGTGGCAAAGAGGACCTGAGGACTCATCCCTGGGTGGCGTGGGAGTGGGGCCAACTGGGGTCCCCACAAGTGGCTAGGGCATAGCAAGAGTTTGGGGGGCAGCCCGACAAGGTCTCAGGCAGGGATGACCAGGGATCCCTGTCCTGGACTGGGGCTGCCCCCTCCCCGGCCCAGCTCCTGCAGCCCGTGCAGCCTGTGAAACGCTGTTGACATGTCCTGAATTATTAAGCACGGGGTGGGCTCCGGAGCACATGCTGAGCGGAGCGGTTGGGGCTGCACGGCGTGGCGGAGCAGCACTCGCTCCCTCGCTCACTCGCTTGCTCGCTCGCTGGCTCGCTCGCAGGGACACACGCAGGGGCTGACAGCTGTGCTGGTGCTGATAAGGGAAGCCACAAGGAGACGATCGAGGAGAGAGACAAGCGGCAGCAGAGGCAGCAGCGGCAGAGGCAGCACCAGGGCTGCAGAGCTGCTGGAAGTGGGAGTGACTCCCCCACCTCAGGCCCCCACCCTATCCCCGTCCTCCTCCTGCTTGCCCTGAGTTTAGAAGAGCAGCCGCTGCCACCACCACCACTCCGGAGGGCACCAGGGCGGCTGGCCAGGGAGGGACAGGGGCAGGGAGGCTCCGGCCAGTCCCAGCAGCCGGGGACAGATGCCGATCGAGATTGTGTGCAAAATCAAATTTGCTGAGGAGGATGCGAAACCCAAGGAGAAGGAGGCAGGGGATGAGCAGAGCCTCCTGGGAGCCGCGCGGGGGACCGCCACCCCCCGGGACCTGGCCACCTTCGCCAGCACCAGTACTCTGCACGGGCTGGGCCGGGCCTGTGGTCCTGGCCCCCGTGGACTGCGAAGAACCCTGTGGGCATTGGCCCTATTCACCTCGCTGGCAGCCTTCCTGTACCAGGCGGTTGGCCTGGCCCGGGGCTACCTCACCCGGCCTCACCTGGTGGCACTGGACCCGGCTGCCCCAGCACCAGTGGCAGGCTTCCCGGCCGTCACCCTCTGCAACATCAATCGCTTCAGGCATTCGGCACTCAGCGACGCCGACATCTTCCACCTGGCCAATCTGACAGGGCTGCCCCCCAAAGACCGGGACGGGCACCGTGCGGCTGGCCTGCGCTACCCAGAGCCCGACATGGTAGACATCCTCAACCGCACTGGCCACCAGCTTGCCGACATGCTCAAGAGCTGCAACTTCAGTGGGCACCACTGCTCTGCCAGCAACTTCTCCGTGGTGAGTCCTGCCAGCTGGCCCGCCTGGCCCAGGGTGGCAAGAGGCTGGCGGGGAGGGCGGGCGCGTGGGGGCATCCTCAACAGGGCTTCCCTTACTTCCGCCACCAGAGGCTGGCCTGGTGTCTTCCCCAAGTCTGGTGTTTCCCTCTGGCTTCCCAGCCGTGGAGCTGGAGACGCTCATAGGGGCTTACCCTGGCACGGCTGCTCCTCCTCTTCTTGGTCCTGCTGCTCCTGCAGTGCCAGGTCTGGAGGTCCAGGGGGTCCTGGAAGTGGGCCCAGGGGTCCTGAAGCTGGTCAGCTTGCAGGGAAGGGATGCACCCTCCCAAGGCCAGGCCAACGGACCCCCACCTTCCTCTTACTCCCTTTTTCTTCTGCAGCTATGGGACCCCTCTCCCCACCAAGCACAGAGTGATGGGGAGGGGGTGTCTGGGGGGCTCCAGCTGGGGAAGGAGTCAGGGCTGCCTCTTGGGGCAACCGGCAGGCTAGATAGAGAAGACCGCGGTGGACACTCAGTGCCAGTGTCTCTTCTGTCTCTGTGGGTCTCACACCCCCTTTCACAGACTTCTGCACACATCCCTCTTTCACGCTGTCCCTCCAGCTCTCTGCTTCCCAGTCCCTCCCTCTGGCTGCTCCCTTGCCCGTCTCTAGCTCTTACACTGAGAATCACTCATTCACTCTTCTGTGCATAACTCACCCTGGCTGCTGCCCAGTGCTGGCACACACATACACACACACACAGACACATACGCATCCTGCTCGGGGACACAGTTTCTTGCACACCACCTCTCTCACACATACTCGGTGTCTCTGTCACTACACTCACGTGCATACCTGCACACCCACACACTCTACACCCGGAGAGCTACTGATCTCCATGTTCACATCCCAGCTCTGACTTCGCTGCTAAGGTTAGGGTCACACTGTGGATGCCATCCCCTCTCGTGACACCCCCGGTTCCCCATGCAGGGATTGCCGGTGCCAGCTCTCACACATGTGTGGATGCAGCACACACCCTCTGCACTGGGAATGGAGTGTCTGCTTGGGCTGCTTGCCCCTACACACCTCACACCTTCCACAATTGGGTGAGGGCCCTCACCCAGGTGTGTGAGGGTGGATGTGTATATCTTGTACGTTGTCTATCTGTCAGGGCTCCACCCACAGTCACAAGGTATCTATTATTCATGGTGCTGGAGACAGACGCCTGTCCCCAGCCCGGTTTACTCCCAGCATTGTGTATGTATGGGTGTGTTTGCATCCTTGTCACCGGTGCCTGGTGCATACACAATTATGTGGAGTCAACACAGTGCCCACTCAGGCCCAGCCTCCAAGGCCAGCCCCAGATAGGGATTTTCCCTCCTCACTGCCCAGCGTGCCACCCCCCACCGTCAGACCCCAGGTTCTCACTCACTCACTGCCTCAGTATCACCAGGAAACAGGCTCCAACTAGGTTCCTCGCCCCGACCATGCCTGCCCCTCTGGGGCCTCCTGCCACTGGGCGGAGGGAGTTAGGAGAAATGGAGGAAGGGTTAGGAAGGAGAGGATTTGCTGGGAAAAGAGTCAGCCTGTTGTCCGGCTGCACTCAAGCTCCCTCTTTTTCTAGGAAAAACCACCATTCCCTAAAGCCAGGGCTGGGAGAGTCCCCACGGAGGTGGGGTGTGGAGTGTGAATGTGGCCTCTAAGATCCCTGGGCTCTCTGTTGGGGGGTGGGGGGCAGAGCCCAGTCTCAGCAGGTGCTGATGAGGGAGAAATCAATAGGGTCTTTGTGTCCCTGAGCAGGAGTTTGTGTCTCAGGCCCCTGTTGGGGGTGGGCAGGGAAGGGGAAGGGTGATGAAACCTCAGTGGGAGAAGAGGGGGAAGAGATGGAGGAGGGCAGTGAGGGAGAGCGTGAGGGAGGCAGGGGTTTTGCCCCTGACCTCTGGGAAAGGAGGGAGTTCCTGGAAGATGTGGGAGCAGGGATTCCCCAGATCAGGCTAGCAGTCCCTCTGCATCTTGGGGGTGGCTGGGAGGGGGAGGGGGACTTCCCTTTGGTACTCTGGGAGCTGGAGAGAGGAAGTTTGTGGGGTTCAGCTCTGCATAGGAGGATGAGTGGGGAGGAGGGGCAAAGCAAGCCTGAGAGACAGGAATTCCCCTCTGGGGATCCTATCACTGCTCTCCTACCTGCCCTTAGCCCAGCCTAGCCCCCTTACCCTTTCCTCATCTGCTGAGTGTCCTGCTCCCTTGGACCTGGCATCCTAGGGCTGAGTCTGCTGCAAACTCAGAAACTGCTGGAATCAATGGGCTAGGATGAAGGCCCAGGAATGGGGAAGATGGGGTGTCTGATGGGGGTCAGATTGGAAACAGGGTGTATATATGAAGGTCTGGGGTCTGATGAGGAAACAAGCCCATGATAGACTCTGTGATGGGGAGCTGGAGTCTATGATGGGAAGACAGGTGCATGAACTGGTTGGCGGGGAATCATCCAGAACGTGGGTGGTGAGCTAGGCAGTGATGGCGACAGCTTTGGGTAAGGGGCTGTTATGTTTTCTGTTGCTTTCCCTGTTTCCTCCTCCCCACTCCCCACTCTGCTGTGACCTTTCCTCCAGAATCCAAGTTAATAAATGTCACATTTTCCAGCCTATTTTTACTCTGGGTAATGCACCCTCCCCCAGTCCCCTAAGCTGCTGCTCTTGCTTCTGCTACCACTGCAATTGCTCTCACCCCCAAGCTCCCTAATATTCCCATCAGACAGTCAACCAATCAATCAACATGATGCTCAGAGAGCCTACTATGTGCCAGGCTCCCTGCTAGGTGCTGTGGGACAGAACAAAGAAGGGAAAGCCCCAGTCCCCTGTCTGTCCCTGTCCTCAAGCAGCCTACAGTCTTGTGGTGGAGTGGGGACAGGGACAGTCAGAAGCTTAACCAACCATGCAAGAGTTAACCAGCAATGCACACCATGTCATAAGGTGCCAGGATTAATTGCCAAGCGAGATGCATGGACAGTAAGAGCCTGAGTTCAGAGAGAGAGGCCACTCTGGGCTGAAGATGGCTGGGAAGGCTTAAGGGATGAGGGAGGCTGGGGGAGGTTTGATGAAGAGGAGAAGGAAAGGGAGAGAGGAGAGGGTTCCTGGGTGGTGGGGACGCTCTCTCTCTCCACTCATGCTCCCCTCCAGCCAGCTCACTTCAGCTCTTCCTCACCTCTTCTCCTCCTGGCTTTCCCTCCTCACCTAGCCTCATATCAATCCACTCCACCTACACCCCCTACTCTCACACCTCGTCAGTGTTTCTCCCTTCCTCCCCACCTCGCCTCCACCTGCTCCCCCACACCAACGCTCCAAGCCACATCTATTCTTTCCCCACCTCGAGGCTTCCTCTCAGCCTGCCCATTTACAAACCAAAAAATAAAAAACCAAACCCATTGCCTTCGAGTCCATTCTCATAGTGACCCTATAGGACAGGGTAAAACTGCCCCATAGGGTTTCCAAGGAGTGGCTGGTGGATTTGAACTGCTGACCTTTTGGTTAGCAGCTGAGCTCTTAACCACTGCGCCACCAGGGCCCACTTCCTAGGAGATAAAAATCCCTCTTTCTCCCTAGGCTTAGTTTCTTCAGTTGTAAAATGCAAGGGTGGCCCTAATATTTAGCACTTCCTTTTAGCTGGAATCACTACAGTGGAGCGGCTCTGGAGCCAGACTGTCTAGATTTGAACCTCGGCTCTACCCTTTAAGCTGTGTGGCTTTCCATGAGCATCAGTTTCTGCATCCATTAAATAGGATATTTGTAGTTGTTGTTAGCTGCTGTTGAGTCGGCCCCTGAATTATGGCGACTCCATGCACAATGGGTTTTCGTTGGCTGGCTTCTGGGAAGTAGCTCACCAGGCCTTTCTTCCTAGTCCTTCTTAGTCTGGGAGCTCCACTGAAACCTTTTCAGTATCGTAGCAACCTGCAAGGCTTCACTGACAGACGGGTGGTGGCTGCGCTTGAGACAGACGGGCCAGGAATCGAAACTGGGTCTCCAGCATGGAAGACGAGAAATCCACCACTGAACCCTTAAACCCGTTGCTGTTGAGTCAATTCCGACTGATAGTGACCCTATAGGACAGAGTAGAACTGCCCCCTAGGGTTTCCAAGGAGCAGCTGGTGGATTCAAACTGCTGACCTTTTGGTTAGTAGCCTGAGATCTTAACCACTGCGCCACCAGAACCTAACAAATTTGAGTTGTTGTGAAAATTAAAGAGAGGATGCCTGTAAGGGCTCAGCACACTGCCTGACGCGCGTAGTACACACTCTGTAAGTGTCAGCTGTTATAAGCACCACGGCCCCCATCCTGGCTATTGTTAGCCTGACTGTTCTCAGCATCACCTACTGCTTTCTGACCCATGCACTGGAATCGGCTACCCTCCATCACCTGGTCTCCAGACCCACCTCCTCTATCCTATCTCAGCATTCCTATTCTATTCAACACTCCCAAATATTCATGCAAGTGTGCATATGTGCAGGCATGTGCGCACACTCTCTAGCTTAGTGCTATCCAATAGAACATTCTGTGACGATGGAAATGTTCTGTACCTGTGCTGTCCAATGTGGTAGTCACTAGCCATATGTGGCTATTGAGCACTTGAAATGTGGTTTGTGTGAATGAAAGTCTGAGCTTTTGATTTAAATAGCAACATGTGGCCAGTGGCTGTCGTATTGGACACTGCAGCTCTGGATGGTCCTGGGAATGAGATTCTGACTGCCTGGGTCGGGAAGGGCTAGGAATTACAGCCGGGACCATAGGGTTTAAGGTGATGACCACAGGCTTTGACTGGAAGTCAGGCTGAGGGCCCGGCTGGGCTGGGGACAGTAGGGTCTTGTCTGGCGAAGGGGGTTGAGGTATCTGGAAGCACCATGTGAGCAAACACCCTCCTTCCCAGGTGCAGGCTATGACCTTGGTCTTTTTTCTTCCATTCCACTGTCTGGAAAATTGAGGCATGGAGGAGGCAGAGAATCCCTGTGGAGGGAGGGAGGGGCAGGACCCAGCCCTT